TCTCCGACTCAGAGTAGACTGTAGCTCTTCTTTCTTTCCGTTCTCTCTACTCCGATCTCCATTTTATCCGTTAACCTCCGTGTCCATCTTATACTCTCTACTATCTCTCCCTTTTTTTTCTTCGCCTCCTTTCCTTTATTCTCAATCTATACGATTCTACTATGTCTCTTACATTTTTATGGCTATATTTCTAATTAGCTTCACTTTTCAATTTCTCTTATGTGTGTTTATTTATTTTTTCTATTTTACTTCAACTGGAAAGAACAAACGAAAGTGATAGTGGATAGACAAAAATGGGAGATAATATTGCAGGTGACAAAGCTAGAAAGAGTAGACGATTGCATTGGAGATGACGATTCCGGCGTTTCATTTCATCAGGGCTTCACCATTGATCCGCTTCTCTTTTTTCTGTCGTGTTTTCTCGTTCTCATTTTTTTTTCCTTTATCCATTTTTTTCATTCTGGCAAATGCCTATGCCCTCTTCTCATTTTTCTCGCTATTCCCTCAAATTTTCCTTGTATTCCTTGTACTGCAAATTTTTTATGAGTCTGCATATTCTTCAATTTTTAAGAATAAACAATATCGATTTTATGCTAATTTTTTTCAATCTCTTTCTAATAACTCTACATACAATTATTCTGTATTTTTACTATTTAATAATGCTACGTGGAAAAATGCATCATTCTTTGGTAATGATTAATAACATCCCCGTACGTTGCAATCTGAGAAAATTCGTTAAAAACAATTTCATTAATTTGAACTTTCTTGATAGAATTCTTGATGCATATTTTAAAATTCTCAAAAAATATTTAATTTTCGAAAAAATGATTTGCATAAATGATTTTATATACTTTTTTATTTTCTATGATTTTACCAGCGTCTTTAAACTTTTATTTAATCACTTTTGATTATCACTTTTCAGAAATTAAATGAAAAAAGATACAAAGCATTAATCAAATTTTTGTAATTTATTAATAGATAAAATTTTTTAAAAAAGAAATAATTTTTCTGCTTTATTTCTTTTCACACTACTTCACCATTTCCGCTCTTATTTCCACTGTACTCATTCAGTTTCCGAGCCTGTACTATCGGTTTCCGGAAGCCGGATGGGCAGGATTCACGACGGTAAGGTTTAATAGAGCGAAATAGACGAACTCGCGGAATGGGTGAGGCTACGAGAAACAGTCAAAAAAAAAAGAACTCGAGCATCGGCCGAGTTAAAATCGACTTCGATGGAAGCAGGGAAAGGATGAAGCGAGCAAATGAGAGAAGAAGAAGAGAAAGAAAGAGAGAATATAGCGTACACGGAACATCGGGAACCCGAGTTGTTCGAGAATAAAAGAGTAATTTTCCGGGTGGTGAAATGCCGATAATGGGGTTGCAGACTGCCGAGTCAACTGGAAAGTGATTAAGCACACATGACGGAACCCACAGACTCGTCAGGATATTACGAGGTACTCCTTTCCGTTTCTTCCCAATCCTTCTCCCATTTCTTCTTTTTCTGTCTTTCATTTGCACTTCCTTGCTTCTTCGCCGTTTCTGTGCTTTTTCTTCTATACTTCTTTTTTTATTTCTCTTTTTCTTCCTCCTTTTTCCTTTCTTCTTTCTTCTTCCTTTCTTCTCCTTTTCCTTTTTCTCTCCTGTCTTTCCCTATTTGCTCTTTTTTTTTTAATTATGCTTCCGATTTCCAATATTCTTTCAAGCGTCGTATCAGATGAGTAGAGTAAAGTTTTCTTATTCTACATATTTCGATCTAACCAACATTCAATAGGCTCGACTCATCTTTAATTTCCAATTCCTTTTTTTTTATCGTATCATTAATCGAGATTGTAGTCATAATTGTTCGATTTGAATCCTATCTGCTACTTGACCGTTTGCCCAAAAACTTACTGAATATAAAAAATTTTAATTTTTTTATTTTGTCTCTTTTTGCTTTATTATCATAGTAAAACTTTTCTTTTCATAAAAGAGGATGATTAAAATCAAGAAGTAAAATACAACTGTAACTTAAATAATGAATTAAAATATTGTAGTATTCACTAATGTAATCTTTTTTTTATAATTTATACAAAGCGACGTAGACGAATATATCGTGTTGCACAAATTCGTGTGCAAGATAAAATATCGGATTATTACTTTTACGTGGGATTAAATTTCGTTTCGGCAGCCATTGTTTTCACGAGCTCGAGTGTGCTTCGTTATTCAAATGAGATTAAAAGCCCTGGGCTGAGTGGAAGCCGGTCTCGTTACAGTCGAGTGGCTAATCGTCGTTATGCGAAGATCGAAAGTAGCTCCATTGTACAAAAAAAGCTCCAGCATCCGCGAGTTTTCTGTCGTCGAATTGTTTTATTCTTTACTTTTATAATTACAAATAACGTCACAAAATAAAAATAATGTACTCTCAAAAAGTATATCAAATAGATATAAGAATTCTTCTCTACAAAAAAATGAGATAATAAAATGAAATTGTTAAAAGAAGAATAGAAAAAAATATTCAAAAAGAAATATACATTTGACAAAACTTTGCACTTTGCTATTCAAGGATCGACTTGCGCGTATAAAGGAATAATTGGTGAAAGGGAAAATATAGTTGACGATCGTTTAAAATCTTAATTGTTTTCGCAAAGTGTAAGCGCGCTTTGTTACCTAAACGCAAACGGGATCCCGGAGACGGAAGTCCGATCTCTTTACAGTCGATCGGTCGTTACATGGTCGTTACATTAGGGATTGAGAGTGGCCCTATCCGGGGAAAACCACGCGTTGACCGATTTCAGCACGCGCAAGGGGACGAGAGGGGGAAAGAGCCAGATTGTCACGGGGAATATGCCTTCGGGACATGCTCGTCCGCAAAACGCAAAAAGGAACGGGGTGGAAACAGGCTGGAGAGTCCATCCAATCCGTTCGCGTATACTATATCGAATGACGATGGAAAGAGAAAAAGAGAACGAGAGGAGGAGAGAGAGAGAGAGAGAGAGAGAGAGAGAGAGAGAGAGAGAGAGAGAGAGAGAGAGAGAGAGAGAGAGAGAGAGAGAGAGAGAGAGAGAGAGAGAGAGAGAGAGAGAGAGAGATAGAGAGGTACGTACGTACGTACGTACGTACGTACGTACGTACGTACGTACGTACGTACGTACGTACGTACGTACGTACGTACGTACGTACGTACGTACGTACGTACGTACGTACGTACGTACGTACGTACGTACGTACGTACGTACGTACGTACGTACGTACGTACGTACGTACGTACGTACGTACGTACGTACGTACGTACGTACGTACGTACGTACGTACGTACGTACGTACGTACGTACGTACGTACGTACGTACGTACGTACGTACGTACGTACGTACGTACGTACGTACGTACGTACGTACGTACGTACGTACGTACGTACGTACGTACGTACGTACGTACGTACGTACGTACGTACGTACGTACGTACGTACGTACGTACGTACGTACGTACGTACGTACGTACGTACGTACGTACGTACGTACGTACGTACGTACGTACGTAGTAGTAGTAGTAAGTAGTAGAAAGTAATACGAGAGAGAGAGAGAGAGACTTAGATTTTAATATCACATATTACAAAGTTGAAATTCAATAATTTCATTTAATAACGAAGACATCATTATTGCTGCTTTGAAAATTACTGCGAATCTTATTATTATTATTATTAGCGCTATCTGTATCGATCTGATCAACAAAATTTAGTTTATAATGAGTCAGTCGATATTTGATCATCGAACGAATTAGAGCAATAAATATATTAATAGCATAGAGCTTTTTTATATACAAGACCTGTAATTGGATAGCACTTTTTTAATTAGAACAGCTATCAATCCGAATGAAGCAAGCAATGAAATTTTCGCACCGTAATTAATTTTATCTACAAATGGAACAAAATAATTTATTTCATATATGTTAATATATAGATGATTCATCAAAGTCAGCGTGAAGTTTTACGTTTTGTCATATAGGAAATATGCTAATATGATCTATAATAATAATAGTAATGTTAATAACTTACAATACTATTAAAATAAGCTGCTATTCTCTCTAAAAAATAGCTAAATGTATATTGGTCCTTTAATATTAAGAGATAAATAAAATTTTAATCTGATATTTAAAATATTTTTTGTAAAAATATTCTAATAGATTTTTTCTCATTTTGTTAAATAACTATTTAAAAAAATGCAGTAATTAATGTAATGCTGTAATTAACTTTGGATGTGTGATGTTCGTTGCGACATACAAGTACGAAAACATTCGTGCATTCGCTCATTACCGGTTCGATCTTGTGCGATCTCACCGCGATTCAATTGGACATCATCACTTAGTGACCATAAAATTGGTCACGCCGCCAGCTAATGATAGACTAAACGCGTTATGGCGTCGTTAATCGCGGATGCGAGATGTGCGACGGATTTATTTTTCGTTGTAACATCGATGATTGCCGGAATTGGGGGGGAATTACATTAATTCGCGTTTACTTCAGTCTTGGCTATGAAAGAATAAAGTGCAAAGGTAAAAATGGGAGTGGATAAAATGGAAATAAAAAATTGTTAAATACCAAAAATCATTATCCGATGATTTTTGTAGAAGAAATGGAGAAATATTTTACTACAGAAGGACGAGAATTTTATATTACTATTTGACACCGATCCTGAAAAAGTGATATTTCATTTTCTTGTTATTCAGGTCTTACGAGAGCACCGATGTATCCCTTTTCGACGAGCCAGTACGCATACCCCATGCTTAGTCCAGAAATGACGCAAGTCGCTTCCTGGTAAGTGGAAATATATTTATCATTTATCAAGAAGATAATTTTACATTATATACTTTATATATATTATTTATCCTCTTATGTCTGTATAAAAACGTATTTGATAAAGGCTTCAATTTAATATAATAGAATTATATCCATGCCATTCTGCGATTGGTCGCATTACAATATAACGTAATATTATTTCAATTTTAATCAAACATGTATTCAACTGGATATGTGTGATGAGAGCGATATTCAATTTCACGAGGTAAACGCGCGCGCGCGCACGCGGCATCCATAGAACAAGAATCGTTTTACATTACACCGCGCATGTATATACGTTATATTATATTTTATATTAATTACGCGTTAAATAATCGATTCGCGTTTCACAGTAACGCAAATGAAAAGTAATGGAGAGCATCGGATTTCGATCGTGCACCGAAGCGATTCTTGACGATTTTAAATCGCCGCCCGACACTCAACGTAGATCGTATATCGCGAATTGTGCACAAAGGCCGTTAAATATTCATAAAAGTATCAGCAAAATACAAGGGAAACGTCACACGACGAGCCTCCTCCCAATAATAATTTTTTCGCTTTAGAATAAATTCTCTTTTAATGCAAAGTGCACGGATTTGCATGATAAACGTCGATGGGCTTTCTCTAGTTCAAGGTATGACCACCGATCTCGTTAATTCCCTCTCTCGTTAGTAAGTACGACACTCGGAGTACGATTTTTTATTAGCAGCTTCTGATCTTTGTCACGTTAATCGCAAGGTCGTTATCGAGGATCTTTAGTAAATAAAATGCACGGACAGTCGCGGCGTATTTCGCGATCAAAAGTTGAGTTTTCCGAACAAATCTGGACATTAGATAGGCGTGGACCGCTTTGGTCAGTCGTCCTTTCAGTTCCGGTCTATTACGTCGGATACGGAAACTTATCTCGTCATCCTTGCGGTCCTCATAGATGTCACCCTCTTTTCGCAAAGAGGACAGGTCCTTACGACCAGGTTTTCTGGCTCGAAGCCACACCGTTTCCTTTCCCCTGCTCGTTATTTGCTTTACGCCCGAGTCGTCCCAAATTGCGATTTTCCACGGATGATTAGGCTCCTTCTTCTCAATTAGAAGAACCCCGACGACATCCTCGTTCGCTCGAGACGTATATCTAGCGCGCGGAAAAATGCTTGGACACCGACATCGCGTGTGCGGAATTTAGCTTTCGCGGTTTTCGCCCGGGTGGTGCCCATCCTTGGAAAGGAGAGGAGTGGAGCACGAGAGAGGGCCACTTGCGATAATGAGAAGGTCGGCGGCGTTTTTATTACGCGGAGTGCACGGGATTCTGGCCTCTGTGTGTTCTTGACAATGGAAATGCGAAACGGTGCATTCGCAAGGAGACACAAACTAATTACTCTTGTGAGAAGCGGTTCGCGATGTTAATCATAATTAATTAATTAATTAATTGCGTTACTGGTCGACGGTATGCAAATATACTTTTTTTTGTTCCTGTTACCGTTGTTGTACGAATTACTCATATACAAATTTAAAAACGGCCAATACTATACGCGTATCCCATCTATAAATATGTCAGTATTGTCGGTATGTAACACAAGTCGAGTACAGAAGTATAATATTATCGTATGTACTAGTAGTTGAAAATAGTAGTTGAAAATATTTGCGCAGTTTAAAATGGAATGATCGGATGTAAATCCGACTTTTAACCGATATAAATGGGACAGTAGTAATCGCCGATGCTCGATTGCTGCTACTCAGAATCAATATTGGATTTAACAATATTTATAATAATATCGACAATTCAAACACAGAGAATTAATGAAACAGAGAATTAATCAATTTCCAAAGTTTCTTCTCGTAGTGAGAATTTTCGTTCCGAAGACACGCGACACGCGCAATGATAAAATCATTAAATTTTTATAGGCACACACCGAGCATGTACCCCATCTCACCGGCGAATGCCGGCTTCCGAAGTCCATATCCCACGAGTTTACCCATCACGAGTTCTAGTTTACCAAGGTCAGTATAATATAAAAAAGTCAATTTGACATTACCGATATCAGAGGTATCTTCTTTTCGCGCTTGTTTACCGCTTTGTTAACCGCTAAAGCGTAATCTCTTCGATTGATCTGTCCTTTGATGTTTTTCAGTGATCTCTATCGATTTTCACCGACGGGCCTTATGCCTCCGCATCCCGGCCTGAGTCCGCACGCACACGCGCTAGCGTCGCACGCATTGGTGTCCTCGGCGCCAAAAGCGGACCACTCCACCCTGGATCACAATCACAGGTTCGTTATCGCCCTCGCTTTCGTATCGCTGGCGACATCTGAACAACCAGCAGCAAAGCCGGGCATCGATTATTCCCATCTGATACCCAAGATATCCTTTGTCCTTCCATTTGGCTTCCGATAAACTTTGCGAAAATCTCCAAAGTTCCTCGACGATCGTTTTCGATCGTTTTCAAAAGTTTCAAAGTTTCTTCGAACGACCTACAACGAATGATTCACGTTTACGTTAACAATCTAACGATCAATTATCATGATGACAACCATCATTATACATAAGGAGAATAGAGAGAGAGAGAAAGAGAGAGAGACTTGATGCGAAAAGAGGCGCCATAATCTTTGGAATGATGCGGCATAAACTTTCAAAGACGATTAATGAACTCGCCGACTTGCCGCTTGGAACGATTTTATCTATCAACGCTTACCAGTATCATTGCCGATTAATTACATCGACGGAGATATAATTAATTTATAATACGTTCGTCATAAAGCTTTTTACTTGCGCTCCATGAGGCGGCTCCATGAGGAGAAAAAAAGATAAACAATAGAAGTAATCTATAAGGGAAAAAAGAATTTTTTCCTTTATTATATAAACAATGTTTTTAAAACACGATATATACATCGTTTGGACATAAGAGGACACACAAGAGGAGAAGATGATCCAGATTTATTTTGGTGTGAGATACAATTTTTTTTCAATAATGAAACGTATTTATGCCAAGCGAATAGTTAAGGACAATAATTTTGCATTATGACAAGAGAAATACGTTATAATAATTGCGAAATTATACATCGTGATTTTGATAGTCTACTTAATCTGCAATTTATTCAATCGTGAGAAAAGGACTCTGTCGATGAACGAATCAGCGGTATATTCCGCCAGTGGCTAACTTTAATATTAATTCGACGTTGTCCGTTGTCGGCACGTTGGCATTCTCTCATAAGGAGGATTTTTTAACCCATAAATGTTGCTCCAATATCCATCGGACGGCGATCTTTAGAATTTTACGAGGACCTTCCTGACCACCCTACGATCGTATGCCGATTCAGTCTTACGGAGCGTAAGCGTCACAAGCTTGGCTGGAGCTTCCGGTTGACGATCGATAATAATACCCGAATAGGGCTGACAGCTGCAAGATGGGTCGCGTACCAACGCAGCGCATCTGCTGATAAGGAAGCGTCGTGCCAAGGGTGAGATGGGATAGTTGCGGCGTGAGGATCGTAGGGGGTAGCACGTCCCGACTACCCCGGAATGTTCGGCCGAATCCCTCGTCGCGTATACTCTTCATCCCTTCGGCAGTCGAGAGAGCACGTATAACACTTATCGAATGACTCCCTCCGCACAGCGTCTGCGCCTGCTACCCCGACGCCGCCGCCGCCGCCGCCGCCGCCGCCGACGCCGCCACCGCCAGTTATGTATTGATCATTACCCTCTTAAACAGATTTCTAATTTACATTAGTACCCGGGCAATCGCCCGCCCCGCACCCGCATGCATACAAAGGCGCGTGGTCTCGTGCGATACGCGCTCTACTCTCTAGATATACATTGCGCGCAAGTGCAACATGACATCATGGAGGACCAGCTGAGGACGCATCGTCCTAGTCTATTGGCATATCCACTATATATCCATTAAATTGGTAGCGCTTCCGAATTGACGTAAAGCACGTACGCATTTGTACGTTTGCGTCATCCACCAGAGCATACATCGTTATCGCGCGCATCAGTGATATAAAGAGTACTCGACTCTCTATTCAAAAGAGCAGATTGGATGCTCTCGATTTCAATCTTGGTGAATAAATCACGAGAATGCTGTGTTTTGCGGAGGTGGATGGATGGATGAAACAGAGATGATTCACGTTTGTTTGATTTTATTCACGAAAACGCGGTCGGTCGACGCGGGAGTGCAAAATTAAAAGTTTGAAAGACAAGGTCAGAGATCAAGTCATCATCGATCGCTCAGTGATCAAATGTATGGAATCGCGAGGCTCCTTTGAGAGAAGTAACGCTAATATCTCGAAAAGAGAGAAAATTTCTTTAGACGAGGTGTCGTCGAATCTGTCGAAGTGATCCATCCTGCCAGCTCGCCGCATCGGTGGCGAGTGGCAGCAGGACAGCCGGGGTTGATCGGTGGTCGCGACGGCAGCGCCGCGACAACCCGCCAAAAAAGGAAGAGTCGCAGCGGCACGTAGAAGAGGAAGGCCACGGAGAATGCGATATTCGCTGGCGTCCCCCCACGCCTCCTCGGAATTGTACAGCCGGCTGATGGTAGGGTTGTCTCTATCGCCGCGAGAGCCCATGAATCGCGATGATGCCACCCATCCCGCGATGCCACTCTCGCGCAACCCCGCACCACTACTACCCGCCCTCCCTCCTCGCGCAATTCCCCCGGCCACCCTCCCAGACTCGCCGATAATCAATCGTCGTAACACCGGTCGGTGGTGATTCCGCTGACGCCAGGAACGAGCGCGCGTTTGAGACGCGGCGGAAAGTGGGAGAGAGAGAAAGAGAGAGAGAGAGACAGATACGGCACCGTGTGCGCGAGGGAAATCCGACGCGCGAGGATACGACGAAGGCACGTCGGAGAGAAATAACGCGGAGACTGAGAGACGAGACGAGAGACGAGGTGTCGGGGCGAGTGTATCGGGAAAGCGTAGAGAGTTCTCGTGCGGGCGTACACGCGCGACAAACGCGAAATCACGGGAAATCGAGATGAGAGAAGAGTGCGTTTTCGCGATATAACGCGGAACAAACGTCATAGTCGTCGACATCGGATAAGATAGACGCGGGGTGTTTGGTGGGTATATAGAGCCAACCCTCTGCTCGGCGGCAGTGGCGGTGGCGGCAGCGGCAGCGGCAGCGGAAAAGCGGGAGGCAAGGGGAGATGGTAAAGAGAGAAAGGCTGTGAGAAAGAGAGAGAG